TCCCCCCGGGCAACGGCCGGAGAAGGTCCCCGGCGGGACGCTGGGGAGCAATACCGGGGGCTGCCGGCGCTGCCAGGCTGTGCCCCGCGCTGTTTGCGGGGCAGTCGAACCAAGAAGGCGTCGCTGATGCGCAGGTCTTCTCTCGCACTGGTCTGCGAGTTGGTCGCTTTGCCCTGACAGGGAACTAAGATGTGTGAAGTGGTTGTGTACCTTTTGGTGTTGCTTAGCAGGCTTCTGGGAAAAGATAGCACTTAGATAAACAGACTTTTTTTTTTTTTTTGGTAGTACAATGTTTTTTTTATTTGAAAGCGGCTGGCCCTGAGGAAAGCCTCCACTGTGGCTCATGGAGCTGTCCCCAAGCCTAAGGAAAAGTGTTCAGCTCTGCCTTGTTCTTGCCTGAACACACAGTCTACATTTCTAGCAAAATAAGCTTCCCTATATCTCTCCCTCCCTCAGTCCTCCAGTCTGTACATGTATGTTTGGTGCAGCCTCCACTACTGTTTGAAGTGCAAACCCTCCCACATGTGACCCACATCAGCCTCAAGCTAATATAAATATGCTTTGTGCTGCACTTCTGTCACATATCCCTGCCTTTCCCCCCTCTTTTTCTCCTGTTTCCAGGGCTCTTACCACTTGTGCTTCTACTGCTGCAAGACAGAGCTGGCCTCTTGTTGCTCCCAAATTCTCCCCCGATGTCCCCAGGCAGCCTCCCCTTTGCTCCCACTCCTGTGAGCCTTTCCCATGTACCTGGGGGCTGTGGCAAAGCCCTCTTGCTTTTTCTCACTCTGCCTTTATTCAAAAGGAAGAAGAGGTAGAGAAGCACAGTCGTCCACATATGTACAAAGAGAGGTACGGGCGGAACTGATCCCACCATGTTGCAGAGTTTGCTGATCAGCTTTTAGGATTTTTCCCTGAGCCTCCGGCTCCACGCCGCCTCTGGCATTTGTACAGTTTATTCTGTGCCCTCCTTGCAGTTCAGCATGCTCACTCCTGCTGTTCTGGGCTTGGCTGCTTTCTTGTCACACTGCCAGAGCTCTGGGAAAGGACCCAGCTAAGGAGCAGGCTGGTACAGAGCTTGTTGCCTGTCAGCTTTACTGAAGCATTTGTGCCAGCGTATGCCCATTTGCCTATTATAGCAGCAACCAGAAACCTTGCAGTTAGGGGAGGCATGGAAGAAAAGGTGCTTTTCAGTTCATTCTTTCAACTGTTAATCCATTTGAGCGACGAGAGAGCTGGTGTCTGTGCTGAGGCCAGGAAGGTGAGGTAGAAAGGTGTACATAGCATGGGGAGCCAAGTGCCCACATTTACCCTGCAGAGGTGTTCAGCTGACTGCCCCAGAGATAACTCTCAGATCTTGCTAAGCACAGACCAGTGTAGGTTACAGCAGCCTCTCTTTGGCTCCTGCTGTTTCCCTTCTCTTCCCATGCACATACCCGAGTGCATGCCCAACTGAAGTGGAAAGTGGATAAGGCAATTCTTGGTCCTGCAACTTTCATTGTGCTTATTCACAATTTCTGTGAATAGGAGCTGCCAGGAGGCTTTCAGAGGCTACATGATGTTAGAGTGGTGACAGTCCTATGCTCTTGGTCTCCTGCTTCCCATTTTGTGGGTACTTTCTCTTGATTTGGTGTAATGATGTAAGTGTGATTAGCTTGCGATTATGCTCTCAGCAGGCAGAGCAGAGGCTTTTTCCAGATTGCCAGCCAAACAAATATGTGGACTGGATGTGCACGTTCCCTTTCTTTAAAGGTTAAACTTAACCGAAGAAGGGCACATACCAATTGCTGCAGGAGATTGAACCTCAGTTCAAGACTGCAGACTTGCTTGTGGCCATGACTGGAAGAGACCAGACTTCTGTCAGGAGCAATTACCAGTTTTATATTTGTATCCTTTTGGTGTAATTGCTTATTCCTGTTTTGAGGAAGCCAATAGGAATGTTTTCTTGGCTGTTTTTGGTTTTGTTCTTTTTTTATATTTTTCAGTAGTTTTTCCTGTCACTTGCCCTCCAGTCAATGTGTGTTTAGGAGCACTGTGTCTGTTTAGTCTCTTCGTGCCTCTCATTCTAAAATGATGAAAGGAAAATTACTCCTTTTTTTTCCCCTGAAAATGAGGAGAGAAAACAGGAAGAATTCTGAGTCTGAATGTGATCCTAACAATATCTAACTAAGAAGTGGACAAGTTAGTAATACAAATCAAATACGTGCTTTAGGATCTGATGTCTCTTAAAGTATGCACCAAGGCCAACCTTTTGGCTATCCCTGTTTAACTTTTATTTCTGCTTTAAACATTGCAGGGGGGGGGGGGG